AATAGGGTCGCTAGCAAGCTTCGGCTTTGCAGATGCAGATTTGTTAGCGCAGACCTCGGCGCGTCGCTGGTATGCTTCGATCGCAGGAACGTTGTCAGCACAGTACTGCGATCCCCCCCCATTATCATGTAGATGGTATCCTGCGGGTTCCCGTTTACTGGGTTGTCATCACGGCGTTGGCGCTTGGGGTTCCCCGCCTGCGGTTTGGTGTCAGCAGAAGCCTTCACCTCTTCTGGCTTGAAGTACGACAAGCTGACCTTACCCTTAAGAGTGCCACCAGTCAGTTTAGCTATCAGCTGCCGTCCCAACTCACGACACTTTGCAGTCAAGTGTCCGTTTGCCTTGTGAAACCCGCTATACAACTTCTCATCGTACTCCTTCGGATCTCTGATCCAGGTATAGTTTCCTCTGCAGCAATCTCGTCCGCGGCCGTAACCTGATGACTCCACTTGGTAGTTATGAGCTCCCGCGGATCCCCCTTCATACTGGATAAAGGCAGGATTGCCTTTCTTTGGCGTAGCGGGGGTCGCAGCCTGAGCGGGTTCACTTGCTTGCTTAGCCTTTCTGCCCCTCTTGGCACGGACTTCCTCTTCACTACAAGCAAATTCTGTAGCGCGGTGAAGCACGTCTTGAATGGTTGTCGGCGGGTTGATAGTCAATTCCTGCCAGAACGGAGATGGGCATCGGAGCGCTCTTCGCAAGGCTTCCAGTGCGGACACGTTGCTAATACCATTCACCTTTGACAACGTGTGTTTAAACCTTGTCATGAAATATCGTAGACTTTCATTCTCCCCTTGCCGGTTCGTCCATAACTCTGCGTCATAGATCTTCCGTTCCGCGAAGATGTTTTAATGCTGCACAAACATCTCTGAGAGTTTATGGAAGGTGTGGATTGAGTTCTTTTCTAATTTATAGAACTATTGGAGGGCAGGCCCCTTGAGGCTTTCCACAAACAACTTGCAGTAGCCGATGTCTTTCTCGGCTTCTCTGAAATTTGCTCTCCCTAGAGCTACTTCGAATTCCATCAGATGACCTGAAGGGTCGGTGGTTCCTTCGTAGATTGGTAACTTGACTCTACCTGGATCAGAGATTTTAGTCCTCGCGATTCGCTCGGCGAAGGGTGTGTTCCGTGCCTTCTCGAGCACGTGGGTGATTGTAGGAGCCTTCCCTGAGGCATGGTGTACCTGTGATTGAGTTGTCTTTAGGTCGAAGACAACTCGCTGCATCTGAGCCCGTATCTCGACGATGTCTGCATCCCGAGATCTCTTTAGCGCCATGCGCTCCTGCTCCCTCTCGTAACGCTCTGCTACTGAGGGTCCACGTTCATCGATGCTGGAGTAATCATCGTACTCCGAAGCATCTCGCAGGGTTTCCGTCCGGGAGGACGATGACACGCTCCATCCATCTGGGGAACGCGTTCCCCTTGGGTTACTACTCACATCCTCTGTTTGCGCGCATCGACGAGGAGGTGGGTGATCTTCGTCCGAGACCCCTTCGAAGCGTTCGGGAGTTCTGTCGGATTCCCCCCGTGGAGGTGGTGGCGGCAAGTCGCTTGGATCCTTTCGAGCAGCACGAGGTGTTGAGAAGTTGAGGCGATGCGGGTCGAAGCGACCCCTGAGTTCTACGACTTCGGGTCTTTCGCGCTTCCGTCGCGAAAGAGCTTTCAGCTTGTTTGTAGTTGCCTCGTTGAACTTCTTTTGCTCATTGGACTCTTTGAGGAGCGTTTGCAGTATCTGCTTGACCTCGGTCATGTCTCTAGGGTTAGCATTGTCGTTGGTAGCAGGGGCTTTGACGGAGTTATCCTCCTCTTGGTTGGTTCTGTGAGACGAGGACTCCTCGCTGCTGCTGCTCGATTTGTTTTCTTCGCCGCTCATCTTCTCAGATCTGGTGTGTAACGTAGCTTTTTTGTGTGAGAAAGTCTCTAGGGTCCCCTTAGACGACGCCAAATTGTGGGAGCCAAGACTAGCACAATTAGATTTGTAAGGGTTTCGAGAGGAAGCAGAGATTTCTAAGTTAAGCTACGAGAGAAAACGATGAGCAAAGAAAAGTTTTTATTGCTGTGTATGCTTTTGTGAACAAAGTTCCGGATACCCTTTACAAGGGTTTGTACATTGATATATATAAGGTTCCTAAGTCGGCTAGGCTTCTCCGTAAAGGATTATGTTAAGTTTTCTAAGTCATCTCGGATTTCCTTTTCGTCCATGTCGGTTGCGCCGAAGTGGGCTTCACAACTGGGTTGGGCTTCAGCGTTGAGACTCCAAGCTCCCGGGGTCGTTACGACGTCGCTTCGTAGCTGCTATACTTATCTTCTGGAGATATCTGGGTTTGTCTTCTCAACTGGCTCGGGCCGAAGCCCAACGCATGAAGTCTTCGGGTCTCGCTCACGAGGCGAAGACAGGATCTTTCTTGCGAGGTGAAGGCAAGTTCTCGCATGCGAGGCGAAGACAAGGGTTTTCGGTGGCAATTCCCGCCAGAGACCTCGGTGACATACCTGGCAGGGTTGTCGGTGTGGTGCTTGTGCTGATGCTCCCGTCTGCATGCACGTAAGACTCAGAAGACTTCATCTCGCAGCGCGGAGAAGACTGCGCTTCACAAGCGGAGAAGAGTTAGGATTGGAGAAGACTTGTCTCATGGCTGAAAGTGACTTAGGAACCATATAATCTCTAGACGTTGTGTTAATTAGACTTTGAACATTAACGTTGAGCGGGTGAAACCCGACCCCAACATTATGCGAAACTAAAACACATTGCCTTGGACACCCACATAGATATTCGCCCTTGCCTTCGGCCCATTTGCATACCCAGAGAGAGAGTTTATGTTATTTTGCACCTCCCATGAGCCCCTCCATTGGCTTGAGATTTATCAAAATAATAATATAAAAAAGCTTGTGGGTTTTCTTTTTCAGATTAGTGCAATTCAAATTATTTTGTAAACTATCTTGTCATAGCCATTGTCTCCGCATTGTCGTTGCCGCCACCGCCCCCTCTATCTACTACTTGTTATCGGTTCAACCCCATTATAGGTAAGCAGACCCGATCCAAAGTTTGGGAGGGATCAGAACAAAAAATAACTCGGGTCCTAATTGC